CTAAAAATACATATTATTATTCTGATATAAAGATATTAAAGATAATAATAAGTAATATGTAAATATAAATTGATAAGCTAATCTTTATTAAGCATTTTGTATGTTTTTTTTTTGTTTTTAATGTAATATACATTAACCAACTGTTATCAGTTTTTTTGATAGCCAAATGTAGCCATATTAACAGCTACAAATATAGAACCTAAAAAATTGCCGTAGTGTAATTAGTAAGGCTACTTACAATATCTTTATCATAAATTATTACCCTGCAATATTACTACAACAGCAACATAATTATTGTTGTTCAGTACATTTATAAAAAAAATATTTTGGTTTAAATAACAAAAATGGAATGAATAATTCTTGCATAAATGATCGATAAGTGATTATGGAGTAGAATATCAGATATATAGAAATCAATAGGGTAGTATTAAATACTCATTCGAAAACGGTTAAAGCGGCTTTTATTGTATATAAGACAAATGCATTTTTCTTTTTAAGTTAAGGTAAGGAAACATTAATATTGATGAGGTCAATATTATTGATGTTGCTGTGCTATATATAGTACAACCATTTCTGAAAATGCATATTTCCATGCAGTACCTTGCAACTTGTCAAGAACGAATGACTACTTAACTTACACTCAACTACTGCTGAAGCTCTGTCAATACAGTATTCATATTGCTAGCACTCAACAACAGTTCAGATCTTTGTAATCTTTATCTTTGCAATTTCTTAAAATTGTGAATTTGGTATTTTATTTCTCCCTAACATGCTATTTCTTTAGATACTATTTTTTTTGTTTTTCTACAAAGTACTATTTAAAACGACTACATTAACATTCCATCTATAATATTTCAATTATACTAAAGATTGTCTTATAGTGAATAACTTTTTTTTGAAATACTTGGCGATTCTGTTTCAGGCACAAAGTTTTAAGTAAAGCTTAGATTTGCAAAAATGACTATTACAAAAACTACATAAAAATTTACAATTCGCTCTATCTGGTATTTAGTACCTAGTTAACCAAATTCTTTTCCTTGCATATTTTCATATACAACTTAACAGCTTAAAAACATTGAATCCCTTAAAACCAGATTAAAACCATGTTCAAACCGATGTTTAAAGGCTTAATTAGTTGTCCTGTTAGAAATCAGCTGATACGTTCTAATTTATGGATTACAATGTATTTGATTGATTATATTATGTAGAAATTAAATTTAGCAGAAAATGTAAGAACCAATTGAGTTTTAAGATTCTACTTAAGAGGAAATCATGAAAAGTAAGTCTGTTGTATATTTAAAGTACGCTACGTATACACTGCACTCAACTACTTGTCGACTATATTTATTATAAATTTCAATTAAAATCTATTCCAATCAGAAATGTCAAAATTGTGTCGAGTAACTAATAACTAAACTAGTATTAGACTTATTAAATAAATTTATTAAATTAATGAGGTTGATCAAGCTTGATGACAACATCGATTGCAGAAGTTAATAACTTAATTCTATGCAATTTAATATTTTAAATTAAATAATTTTGCAATTTTTTTTATTAAACTTTTGGTGATTTTTTCTAAAGTTTTTTTTAGCTTAAACTTTCGAATGCACAAATTCATGAATATTTTGAAAAATCTATTCATTTTTACAAATCTCAATTTTTGCGCTCAATAACTTCAATTTTATTTAGATAAATCTTTAATCATTTATGCTAAACACTTTTAAAATATGCAATAAACTGGTCTTGGTCTTCGAAAAAGAAAAAATAATGATATAAAGAAAAATGGTAATTTTTACGAAATATGAGAGACGTGCGACGACTGCTGTTATTAGCCATGTGCAAATATAGTTCTGTCGCATGGCTTACATATGCGATATTCAAATGGCTTACAAATTTAGCTTCAATACTCATATTCATATATTTGGCTTAACCTTAACAACAGCGAAAAACCGAAACGTGTTAATTTACTCACGTAAAAGTTTGACCATGAAATGGATACCATCAATGCTGTGTTTAGCCAACAATTTTGAATTCCAAAACGATTTAAATGAAAAATCAAAAAAACAACAAAAAACTAAATAAAAATAAAAACCAAAATGAAAATAAAAAAAATTATGTAATTTAATTGAGTAAAATGTATTCACTGGGAATGTCAATGTTTTGGGTTAAACATCAACAAAAGGAGTAGCACAGCTTACCTGTTGGTTATGGCAAAAGAAGGGTGAACTTGTATCTAAAACTTGTATTCAATAGAAAATATAATATAGTATATATTGCCTTAACACGTACATAAACAAAAACAAAAAAAATATTTTAAAAAAAAATAAAAAATGATACTTTGGTGTAGTAATACTAGATAAAATTTATTTGCACCAATGCCAACAGCTGAAGATAACTTCGGTACGCTCACTCAGAGCTGAAGCCGTTACCGAAGTCGCAGCTACAAACGAAACTTTTTATGCTCTTTATGGCTTTTATTTATTAATGCTTAAATTTGATACTTGAACTAAAAAAATATAAAAGTTATCAAAAATTGTAATCGTGCAGAGAGTAGTGCTCTATCATAGATCGAATAACAAAGAAATGGTATATTCGCAGACCGTACCTGTAGGTGTTAAAAGCATATGTGGAACGTCCGCGAAATAGTTTACAAAACCAAGTGCAACCTTTCGGAAGTTGAATGAAATGTTGTGTTTGAGGTTGATAATTGATTTATCTAAGTAATTTTTATTTGGAAACAAATAAAACATAAAAAATATTAAGTGATAAATATGTATTGTGATAAATATGACATAGAATAAATTGTGTAAAATTGTAATAATTTGCGTAAATTTAGTGATTATGTAAAATAAATTTCTCACATATATTTTTTAGTGATTTACAAATGAATTGAATTTTTAATTTGATATTAAATGTTTATTAAAAAAAAATTTTTTTTTGAATAACATTTGTATTCCTGATTAAGTTTTACCATTGAGTCATATTAGCCTCTATTTATGCAATATTTTAATTATTTTGTGTGCCCAAAGTATTAAGAACCTACAATAAAACCCGTCTTATTATATTGACCCTATATTAGACTAGCACTAAATGCACTTACAACGTCAAAAAAAATTAATTACACCTGGCTGTTCATATCGACTATCCAATATACTTGTGGTGAATAAATGAAGAATGTTAAGAAAATACAATTACACCAAACATTCTAAATTTATTCACCACACTTGTTTTTTTATTTAGACTATCGAAAAATTTAGTGAAGAATACTTTAAGAATAATAAAAAAATTCAATTGCACCTATATTTTTATATGAACACTCCAACAGTGTAGTGTGAAATACATTAATATTAAGAATGTTAAGAAAATACTTTCTGCCGTCTTTTTTTATATGAAGTCTGTAATAGACTAGAGGTGAATACATTAAGACTGTTAATAAAATCTTTTTATATAAACCCTCAAATAGTATAGTGATGAATACATTAAAAATGTTAAGAAAGCATAATTGCACCGATCTTTTTATATGAAGTCTCCAATAGACTAGTGGTGAATATATTAAAAATATAAAGAAAATAAACTTTCAGCTGTCTTTTTATATTAACTCTCCAATAGACTAGTGCTGAATACATAGTGCTGAATACAAGTACACGTGTCTTTTTATATGGACTTTCCGAAAGATCCCAGTGGTGAATACATTAAAATGTTATGAAAGTACAATTAAATTCATCTACCAGTTAACCTAAATTCGCTCTGAAATAGTCTTATGCTTACAAATGTTAAGAAATTTAAATGTAATGAAATGCAGTCCGTTAGAATTTATATATTAACTTATGATTTAATGACTAACCAAATGGCATAGAGGAAGATAGCTAACATTGTTTGAAGATTCGTTTAAAAGTACACGCAATATGCGTAAAAGCAGGAAATCGTACAAAATCGGCACAAATTCCCTAATAAACAAACAACGACCAACTATCCGAAAGTGTTTGAGAGTTTGATCGAAGTGCTGCTACTTAAACGCCGCTGACCATAACTGACCGACCAAGCCGAATTCGAAATTTGAGTATGTGCAAACGTCTTACCCGTCATAGTCGGGCTGATTAGCACAACTGCTCGTGCTGTTGCTATTGCTGTTGCTTACTTAGTCACTTGAGTTAAATTCGAAAAGTTAGTTGTTTGTCTGCCGCCAACGTGGTCGCTTAACGTTTTTTGTTGTGCGCAATCAGTTGCCATTGATTTTTTTAAGTGTTTGCCGCGCGTGCCAATGGTTCGTTGTGCAATATTCATTAAGTCTACTTCACACTGCTGCTTGATTACAATAATAAAAAAAATTAAAAAAACGAAACTAATAATTTAAACCGATTGTAATTATTTATATATGAAAAAAAAAAAAATACAAAAATTATGCTCAAGAAAAAATACTTTTTAACCCAATTCCAAAGCTTTTAACTTTCAGCTTCGCCGATTTATTTCGAGTGAATTTTTGAAATATTTCAATTCTTTTAAAATTAATCAATTATTTCTTTAGTAAAAATTTTGCAATTTTTACAAAATGAAATAAATATTCATTACACAAAAAATTTATAAAATTTATAAAATTTTATAAATATTAATAAATGCAATTTATTCTCTTTTTTCATACAACGTCTTTGGTGTAATTTTTGTGATTTTAAAGTGCAAAAATGACAATTTATTAAATGTTGCTAGTTCAGTTGTGTTGTTGCTGCGGTATTAAATAAAATTATTATTTATTTCGCTGTTGCCCATACAATTTATTGTTAACTAAAGTAATTTCTAAAAGGCAAATGTATACAAGCGAAAACGTTTTTACACAACAAAAGTAATTTAAGAATTAAGTAAATACAGTTTTGTGCGAAACCCAAATACACCGATTTCAAGTGATAATATATAAGAAATTATAAAAAAGTAAACAAGGCATAAGAATACATAAGAATATTTTAACTACTTATCTTTGATTTTTAATACGCGTTTATGTAAATTAATATAAAAAAAGTGCTAAGTTTCTCAACTTACTCCAACGATAAAATATACCGATATATTGTATGTACAACATATAATATATTCAAAAAAAAATATTAGAAAAAATCAAAAAGTAAACTTAATTAGAATTATAACAACAATAACGACAACAACAACAACAAATAGAACAACTTTCAGAGATACTCATTTCGCAATATTTTCACCGCCAGCATACAATTTTTTATGCAAATCTGCTATTAAATATGTATTTATAAGTACTACAATTTAAAGTTCCAGTTTGAAATAAGTTGATTATCCCTACAACAACAACAACAAATAAACTAATTATTACGCTTATAGAGGTAATTACAAATTTCTTAAATTTATGTTTTCTATATTATGTATAATTAGTATATTTGTAACGTATAATTCTTAATATGCAAAAATATTGACTTATGTTTATTTTATATATTATCTGATCATAATTAATTCAAAGAAAATATCACAGAATATTACAATAACTCTCTTTGCATATATTACTTAATCAATATGAAGGATAACTTCTTAAAATGTATCATAGATTTACCCTTATACCTAACCTAGAGACTTACTGTGCCCAAAGTTTGGTTCAGCTCAAATAATATTTGAAAATCTAATCGTAAAACATTAAGTAATATTTATAAACAAATAAAATTATAAATTTAGAATGATATCAGCAAATATTTGCTATTTTATTTTTTTGACTTAAAACTATGACAAAAATACAAAGTTATTTGGCTGAAATATTTCAAACCGAAACAATTTCCTTAGAGGTTGCAATAATTCCGTTGTGATAAAGTTTATACGGAAGTTAAGGCGAAGTTAAGGCGAGATTTGTTCGATATGTTTACTCTTTCCACTTAATCTGTTCCTGTAGTTCTGTTTAGATCTTTACGCACATATCTTGAAAAACATACTAAACAGCGCTTATTATCATGTGAAGCAGTTTTGACTAAAAACGTTGAATGATAAATTTGATGGTTGTCATCCAAAATTATATGTCATAGAGGTTTAATGATTTGAAATTAGAGAAGTTTTTTGTATAGTGAAATGACTGGCTATTAACCCCTGTATTTTTGTAAACTATAGATCAAATTATTTTCTTTTTGTAAAGATGTTTTTTTTTCCTGTTAGTTGTCTATCTAATTGTAAAGTATTTATCTCTGTCTTTAAAATGTATTTGTTTATTATTTAATAGAATAGGTAACGTAACGTTAAAGTGATTTGTATTGATTTTGACGTACTTACTTGTATTTTTAGCGTTTTTATTCCATTTTATAACCAACTAAGACCATTTGGAAGATAAAATTACCGTAACTGTGACATCCAAATTAAACTGTGCTTTTAGTTAAAGGATTAATTGATAAACTTTCTATTTCCAAAAGATTATGTACAAGATGGGATCCAAATATACTAGTTTATTTCATATTTTCTAGTAGTTTCTTTATTGAATTCAACTAATAAGTGTCTATCTGAAAAAGAAAAACTAATTCTTCAGAGTAGAAATTTAGACGATTATTCTTAAGCTTCAGCTTATTCTTAATCAAAAACTGTCAAAAGTTTTGGATAACATCCAGAAAGGCTAATATCCAATTTATTTGTTATTTTTATTTTTTTGTCTTTTTTTCCTCCTCTAATACTATTGTATAATTAATTTAAATGATATAATTGTTCAAAATACCATTATATCGTTAGTACTATTTACAAATCAGAAAATATTATTAAACGCATTTTAATAAATAAAAAATCTTTATAAAATGCAATTAACATTGATTAAGAAGTAGTTCCGACTCAATATACTCAAGGCAAATAATTATGTTATGGCATAATAAAATCTATTATAATTTTATCTTATCTTAACAAAATATTTCTTGAGCTTATTTTGTCAAATAAATACCTATAATAAATTATATTAATAATTTGCTTGACTTAAAATTATTAATATTAAAGAAGTCTAAAGGTACTTACTGATTTTCACTCAACATAAATAATAGTAACTTTTTTTTCGAATTTATACTAAACTTGTATGCATATTCGTAGTTTTATATATTAACTCTATCATCTATATTATATATAGGGCAACTATCAAAAAACTTCTTTAACAGATACTTATGTTAAACTAAATGGATTTGTAAAAAAAATTCTGTGACATCTAACCATCAAGACAAAATATAAAAAACCCTTCTATATTAACAGATATTTTAAACCACTTGATTTAATTTATTGGTTTAAATCCTTTAGTTATTACATAAATTGAACTTTTATTAAAAATACAATATCAGAATGGAAATATATAATGTTAAAATCAAATTTTTAAACAAAAAATATTAATTTAAATACCATTTTTATTCTAAACAATTTAAATGCTTGAAAAAATATCTGATTCATAATTAAAGATAATAATATAAACTATAAAAATAAAAAATAACATATAACAATATATAGTAATATATGTATATATATAATAAAAAAATTTTGTGTGAAATATTAATATCAGGAAGTTATTTAACTTTAACATCTTTCAAATATATCGTGAATCGCACATGGCTCCAAAAATACAAATCTATTTGCTAATACGTATATATGGTATAAATGAGTCCATAGGTCTTTTATTTAAAATTGTATGAATATATTTTTAAGAAAATATATATAAGTAGAAAAAAGTTGAATAAAAAATGTTTCTACAATACATACCAATCACGTTCTTAAAACTATTTTTCTATTTGTTTATATTATTAATACTTGTTTAAAACGTTCTAGTTCGGCTCGATGATTTTGAAAAATTTTATAACCAGAAGTTAAACATTTAATTTTTATAACAAATTAGCAATGTTATAAAAATTAGCATAATTTCGTATATACAAACAATGTTATTGAACTTGATTATATAAACCCGAATATTTTTAATTTTAAATGTTTTTACTTAAATTTTAATTTATTAAGTAAAGTTTTTGCAAAAAATTTAACTTAAGTAATAGGTATATTGACTTTTAAGATAAAAATATATATAAAAATAATTTGAACAGCTTAAAAAAATTTAATAAACAAGTTTATAATAAACTTAATTTATATTAAAATAAAAGTTAAATATATTTTTTAATTGATTAAAACAATATATATTTTAATTACATTTAATATAAACAAAACATCAATACTAAATTAAAATATAATTAAAAATCCATTAAATAGATGAAAATCAAGAAATATTTAAATATTCAGCAGTATACTTTTAAATTAAAAATTAACAACTAAGAAATATTTAAAATATGTTTAAAATATACAATATATTTATTTTATATTTAAAATTGGATCAAATTAATTTTTCGATTAAATATTAAGATTCCAGAAGTGATTAATAAACCACAATTGCTTCTGTTTAAAATTTTTTCCATAATAAAGTACAGTTTTGAGAATACAAGAGCAACTAATTTTTAAAAAGATTTTAGGATTCTTGATAAATCAAACATGAACTTAATATAATACCTTCATTTAGATAATGTCGTAATAGCAATAATTGAGATGAACTGAAATGTATTCCTTTTTTCGTCTTTTCGAGAAGTAATAAATCAAAGCATTTAAGTATAAATCGCATTTCAAGAGTTATAAGTAATTTCCAAGCTTTTGTAAAGCACAAGATGGTCTTCAAAGGGTGATTCCGAAACTGAGACCACCTAACAATGAAATCGTTTCGATTTGTTAAAATGTGGTAACTTAGGAAAAAACGTTATTGAAATTTATATATATAAAACTTACAAATAGGAAATTTGATGTAATACTTAAAATAAATTGTAGATCAAAAATGTCTAGTTCTACTATTAAATTTTACTTATTAGAATTATAATTAAAGGAATACTATCAATGGAGTATTATAGTTAATCTCTTCCATCTCTTCCAAATTACATTTATTTATATATTTATATATATAAATGTATTAATTTATATATTTACATATATATATACATAAAGTTTTATTTGAAATATTTGAAAAATGCTTTTTCCCTAACTATACAGATTCTCTATCATATATAATTATTGACTAGTATTTCCTATAATACGTTCACTTAGCTGAATGACTTTTTAAAATTCTTTATTTTCTTCATCGTAAAACAATTAAATGATATGTGTATCCTTTTCTTTATCATCTAATCTTTCTATGCGAATGATATTATCTACCATTACCAGGTTACATCGCACTCTTTCTGAATTTTTTTGGCAAATAATGTAAATAGATTATCGCAGATTAATATTGTCATTGTCGTTTTCATCTTCTAAAAGGTTTTAATACAAAGGCTAAAAGATGAATATTCTGAGAACTTCTCATTTAATATTTTCAGTACACTATATCCCTTAACTAACACCGTTTTCTTCTTAAAATTTTTCTTGAGGTTATTTTTTTGTTACAGGCTCATGAAATAATGTGTTTTTAAGCCTTTTGTGTATATATATTATATATATTATTTATTATATATATATTATTATATTATATTACTTTTTTCTTATTTATATTCAAATTAAACTGTTTTCAGAAGTCACATTTCATAGGTAATTTTTATTTTAATGAACGAATCTTCAATGGATCAAGTTGTCACAACTGTTTAAGTTCGTTCTTATGTCTTTGTAATATTAAAGCTAACTAGAGCCGTCATTAACCTATTTGCGATCAGTCTATATTATTCCAACTGTAACTTTTCTTACTCGGTACTATTTTTAGCTTAAAATTGAGCAGTAGTGAAAAAGCTCTTACAAAGAATTGCAATGCCCGGTTTACCAACAGATATTCTTAAATCTTAGTTAGAGGTCCATAATTGAATACATTAGCTTCCATATTTTATTAAAATTTTGTATTATATTTTAATTAATTACGTACACAAATAATGCTGTGTTGGTATATATTTTTATTTACGAAATATTAAATAAAATTAATCTATATATTTGGTCTAACTGCAGGTCATTGAAATAGTGAATATTTTGTTAAAGAGAAAGGGTTTAAGGGTAGATTAATAAAAATAACGAAATTAAGCAAAAGATATATTTATATATTTACGAGCATTTTTATAAATAAAATAAAAATCAATATTTCTTAAAATTGTGCTATATTTCTTCAGAAATTTCTAAATATTTTATTATTACATATTTTGTTGTTATTTTTTTTTTTTAATATTATTGTTTTGCTGCCATTGTGGCGGCTTACGTCAAATTGAACTACAAAACTTGTACAAGAACAAGCATAAAAAGGACGCCATATAAATATCACAATGGAATTGTTATCCTTGAATCGCCCCAAGTGCGACTATTCTTTTGAAGTAAACGAACCAGAAAAATA